AAAAAAAATAGCTTGGCAAATAAGTTGTGGCTTCTTAATTCCAGGGATTTAAACAGTCTTGTCTCCAAAAACTGTTCTACAGCCTTTTCTTTTGTGTTTGTGTAAGGGAAAAGAGATCGTAGGAAACCAGGAAAAACAAACTTCAAAACGCCTGGAAAAAAATAATCAAAGTATTACTTAAACCCATACCTGTATATATTTTCATATCTAGCTTGGCAAATAAGTTGTGGCTTCTTAATTCCAGGGATTTAAACAGTCTTGTCTCCAAAAACTGTTCTACAGCCTTTTCTTTTGTGTTTGTGTAAGGGAAAAGAGATCGTAGGAAACCAGGAAAAACAAACTTCAAAACGCCTGGAAAAAAATAATCAAAGTATTACTTAAACCCATACCTGTATATATTTTCATATCAATGATATGTATTTGAGCTGCTTCTTGTGTTTACCACTGTCTTAACAGATTCATATTAGCTGCTTGTGATGTGTTTCTAGCCTTCCTCAGTCTGAATGTTAAGGGATTTGTGGCAGCCCTTATTACCTGAAAGAACTTGGGAGGAGGATGGAGCTGAGAGGGCTGTGACCATTGCTTGATGTAGGGCACAGTCCCATTTATTCACACTGCTCAGCCCTGCTTAGGCAGGTCAGAAAAGACAGAGAATGAAGAATATTGCTTGCAAGAAGTCAAATTTTCATGGAGATATTTTGCCAGTGGAGTGGCATCTCTGTGTGTTAAAGTGAGAGGAGCATCTGAAATGCAAAAGGTAGGAAGGTCCCAGGAATGAAGTTGTGCTGATCTAAGAAGTAAAGTTGCTAGAAGGGTATGTGACAAATTTGGTCCTATGCACAAGTCATCAAGCTTGGGGGTTAATCACACTGATTGTGGTGGGTTTGAACCAAGTCAGCTTTGTCTTTCCTTTTTAGTTTCTTTGGTTTTTTATGCTCTCCTCCTCTTTTTCTCAGTCCTGGCTGAGTTGGGCACACATCTGGTAAGGTGCTGCTCCCATGCAGCTCCGTTGGCATCCTGGTGAAAGCAGGAAAACATGTGCCAAGGCATTTGCTCTTGTCTGTGGCAGCACTTCCCGACAGCTGCTGGTCAGAAAGGCTAGTGGCTCACGGGAGGTGGCTCTGCCCTCCAGTTTGCTCTTTGCACCCAGTCACTGGTGCCAGACAAAGTGTTTGCTTGTGCTGCTGACCCTCTTGTCCTTTCCCACTCAGGGGTGCTGGCTTGCAAAGCTCAGATGTGGAGGTGAGCACCCACCTTTGAGTGGGTGACCGTGCATGGGCTGGGGGGACACTTGTGCTGCCATTGTCCCAACAGAGCAGCCACAGGCTTGTTTTAATGAGTGGAAAATGGTCACAATTTGGATAGAACAGCTAAGTTCAGCTCTTTCTGTGTTTTACTGACATGATCTTTTTATTCCTTATACCTATGAATCCATAGGTATATAAATACCCTGTTAATGGCACATTTCTTATTCGGGTATAAACTAGGAGGAAACAGATGCTGAAAAAATATGCTAAAAGGGAAATTAAGAAGATGAGCACTGAATCTTGCTTAAAGACCACGCTATGCTTAGAGGCAGATTCCACTGAGGGCATGCAAATGTGGTCCTTGAGCTTTCTTAAAAACAACATCCAAGCCATAATCAATGTGCTGCTTTTGTTCTATGCACTAGGTGTTCCAGACAGTTAACGACGTGATCACGTGAGCCTCAGCTCTAGCAGATACTGTCCAGCCTGGGTGGCTCTGTGATTTTAGTTTGCAGTTTATCTGAGCTGGTAACAACGGCACAAAAATGAAACTTTGTCTCTTTCTGCCATGGTGAAGGAATAATCAAAACTTGCACATCACCAGTGTCTCACCTGAGCGCTAGAAATAACCAGCCTGACTTTCTCGTGAGCCACTGACATCACAACACTCACTCAGCTGAGCACCAAGGGTAAAAGCAGGAAGAAAGGCAGATGCTAACTTGGCTTCATCTCACAGGTTTCCAATGTATCCTTCGTTTGCCCGAGTCGTTTCCTTCTGCACTCTGTGTTTTCCTGGTCTCCTTGTAAACCCCCCAAGGCAAATTGCTCCAAGGACTTTAGCAACCCCAGACCTATCCAAAATGTCTCTGTTCATGCAGTGATCTGATCCCATGCAAATTAAAGATGTGTTCATAAGTGCTGCTTAACTTGTGTAGTTTAATCAGATGTAAAAACTGAATGAGTGATGAGAATTTCAACTTTGTATATGGACAGGAAAAATAGATTTAATGGCTCAGTATTCCAAAAGATAACTGGAAGCAAATCCTTAGAACTGTACAACTGGTCATTGGTCTAGGTAAGGGGAAATGAAAGAATTGATCCAGCCTAGCAAGAAGCATCAGAGCCCCAGAGATGAGAGTGGCTATGGGAGAGGAGGCAGGGAATTATTAGAATGTAAAGAGTTAAGCTATGGTAAAACATACTTTTGCTACACTAAAGAAGACTGGTTGATAATTACTGTAGTTTTAGGGCTATTTGAATCAGTGCAGCTGCAACCTCTTCAGTAGTAACCCCTGAAACAAGACAAACTGGGTTTATTGTACTGAACAAGTCTTAAAGCTCCTCCCTGATTGTTAGTAATTGGCAGCAATGGACTTAACAGCCTCTTGACTACCCTTTTTACACTCTACCTGACTGTGCAGCTAACAATTTAAATCACAGATGCCGATCCTTCTTTGTGGCAGCTGCTTGTTAACTACACGTTCCTCTTTTTCTGTCCCTGGCTGCTTCCATAACCCTGCAACACCAGGGTTAGATTGGAGAATCACATTTCATCAATATTTAAAATGGAATTAAACCTTGAAGTTTGATTAATGCTAGCAGATAGCGAGTTGTAATTACTATTTTGCAAATTGCAATTGTTCGAATATGTTAATATGATTGTCTGAGCACATCTTCACCTTCAGAAGTAATTTTCCTTTTAAAAAAGATTGGGGAAAAAAAAATACAAACTCTTTAATCAGTGGTAAATTATCACCCTGTGCACAATTAGGTAGTGTGGAGTTCTTCATGTGCTCTGCTGAATTTTGTGTCAGCAGATTTATATTTTAAAAGTTTGTCCATTTTTTTTAGATTTTCCTCAGTAGAATAAACACTCATGGAACAGACTTTGCTGAAACAGAACTAACCTTGTTGGGGTTTGAAGGTAAAAAAAAGAGCTTTGTCTGAACATTTATTGTAATCTGCTGTATTCCTGTGCAGTTAGTAAATGTTAACAAGTTATTTCTTCCAAAGTTAGGGAAATATAATGATTATTACAATTGATTATATATCAATAAGAATGATTATATATAATTAAAATCTTGAAACTGAGAGACACAGAGAGATCCTAACGGATGGGCTGCTAGACTGAATATGATTCTTTCGAATCATTTCCTTGTGTCTCAACCAAAAATAAGAACAGTTTCTAGCACCTACTAAATAGATTTTGCCTACCATGGGTAAGACCCTCAGGCAGCCCAAACTGGGGCAGCTTCTCCTTTATTTCTGCGGCTGATCCAGGCTGTTTTCAGTAATCAGGCAGAGGCACAAGGAGCCAACCCTGGCAGCCACCTGCACTACTGGGCCCCAGACACAGCATCTGCCTGCAGGAGGTGTTTAACCAGGGTGCAAGTTCTCCTGATCTCCTGCTGGACACTGTCTACACAGTCAACAAGGTCAGTTTGTTCTCTCTTGGCAGATAAGACCCAACTAAAGCTGTTGGTTGCACTGTGCTCCTGTACACGTCCCATTTCAAGATTACTTCTTAACAAATATTGCTTGGCAAGTTTCTGCCTTGTTTTGGGTGGCTTTAGGGGAAGCTCCCAATGCCAGCAAAGTCCAAACAGGTGCCAAAACGACTTTTGGGTGTATTCTACAGTGAGCACAAACTAAGCCCACTTGAATCAGTGGATTTCTGTTCTCTGCAAAATGAAACCACTTGCTTCATTTTCTATGTTCAGCCTAAAAGTAGTGGCAGAAGAGACTTGCCCAGCTACACACTCCAGATTTATCTCTCAACTGGGATTAGAAACAGCTGAAAATTCAGGGTGGCCTTGCTTCAGGGTGCTTCCAAGGGATGACTTGCAAATACACTGTAATTTAGGTGCGTTTAATCTTTCTCTATTAAATGCATATTGCAAAGTTTAGAATTATTTGCTTCTAGCTATCACATTTCTGTGTTGCTTATGGAAACCTCAGCTGTGAGAGGCTTTTGAGGACTCTGCATGCTTAGATATCTGCCATGGCACAGAGCAGAGGCTGTCAGCAAAGGCAGTGTTGTCATGTAGGCTTCTGGATTTGCCCTCTAAACTAGTGTGTTCCCAGGAAACCACC